CCATCAACTATGAATCTTTTTACACTTCCACCATTATGGTGTCAAATTCCGTGGAATGTTCTCTAGTTTGTATTCATTTTTGTGCAAACATGCAGTTTCTGACGCATCATAATCTGATATATATAAAGCCAAAAGGCATATCTTATGATCATCTTGTTTCAAAATGTGGAGCTCGAATGAGATAAAACGGGTAAAATTTTGAGAATATTCCATATAATCTAGAAAGTTTCACTAAATTTGACACCGCAAGAGTGGACGTGTAAAAGATTCATAATTGAGGGATTTTTGTAATTTGACCATACCTTAGGGGTGATCGTAATTTACCCTAATCATGAACTACGTTCAACTCACGTGTCACTTACCAGTTTATTACAAATATCAAGAAATTATTGAAATATTTCAAACAAGAGAGATTTCTTGTAATTAAATTAAGTTTTTGGAGATGCTAACCATAATTTATCTTATTTTTTTTACCATTATTTGGTTGTTTGGTGTGGAACTTTACATATTGTATTTGTTTGTGGCGGTGACTTGAAAATCATAGCTGGAATAGGTAGTTGTTAAGTAACAAGTTGTACATTTTTTTAATTTCCATCCATGTGAGTGCATGTTATCCAAGATGAGACAACTACATAAAATTATATATTTGTGATCTTGACCAAATAATTGTCATTTTATATTTGGGGACGTTGGGATAATTACACTTTTATTCCCTATATTATACACCTTTTTCAGTTTTGATCCTTAATTTTTTCTGCCATGAAAGTTGTCCTCAAATAACCGGTAATTTTACACTTTCAGTCTGCCGTTTGATCATGGAATTAGTTTGGGCAAAAAGCACGCGGGGAGCACATGACTATGTTATCAACCCTTTTCTTAAATCTAGGGATAATTATAGTTTTGGTTCCTATATTATACATATGTTTCGATGTTGGTCCTTAAACTTTTTCTTGCATGAAATCGGTGGTCAAATAACCTGTTCTTTTACAATTTCCGTCCACCGTTTGAAATTGTTGTTAGTTTGGACAGAAAAGTCATGGGCAAGGCATGTGATCATGCACTTCTACCCCTTATTTTACCTATATTTTTCATTTGGTCCCACTTTAACTTTATTATTATAAATTCGGCCAAAAAAATCAAATCCCCAAAATATTGTTCCGAATGCCCCTGCCCCGCCCCGTCTGCCATTTTCACCTCCGCCGCCGATCCATCAACTGTACAAGACACTTTTTTTTCATTGATTTGTTTTTTTTTTTTTTAATTTAAAATTGAAATACTATTACAGACTTATTAAAGAATAATAAAAATACAAAAAAATTATAGGATTAGGCAAAATTGATTTTATTGTAAAAACGACTAAAAACAATATTTCTAAAAATTACAAATAATGAAATAAATTATATTTATTAAATTAAAAAAAAACTCTTTAATAAATTTGGTAGGGATGATTAGAAATTCCGTCCCTATACTTTATCACTTATTCGATTTCTATCCCTAAACAAGATGAAGTTGCATTATATGTCCCTGAACATGCCTTTTTTATGTTGCTTTAGTCCATCCGTCCATTTGCTGGTCAGTTTGGAAGGAAAACAACATGTGCGTCGCACATGATATCCAAAAGTCACCCTCACCCCCCGCCTTTAATAAACGGCCAAGTATTGAATGAGAACATCGTTTTTCCTAATTTTCTTTTGAAAGTCCTACGCCTTATCTCAAATACATTCATGCATCCAACTTTGCTGGTGGCTGGTTACGATCATGTACAATACAATCAAACGACCAAACAGAACCAAAATGAATTTTCCTATTTTTTTTATCCTTTCACCGGATCTCTTCTCCTTTTCAATTATGTTTTCTCTTTCCTTATAGATAGCACATTCAGTTCCAGTCTGTTGACGTTTCTTAGAAACCTGGGATAATGTTCTTTGATCTAGCACATATTTCAGGATCGTACCATTTGAATGCACCACAAAATGTAACTTTTTACTGAACCAAAAGAATTGCAAACTGTGTAATATTAATATCAATTGAAAAAGAGTTAAATTCAAAGTAAATATTGAAATTTACCCTATAGTTTACAATAGCATGCTTCACTCCCCAACATTTATTGACTGATCCTTCAGATTGCATTTGCCGGTAAAAAATAAAAAATAACCTTATTTTGTGATTCAAGAGAGAAAGAAACCTACTTTGAATTAACAAATTTTGATGAAAAACCTTCAAAATTTGAATCGCACACTTTCTACTTGTGCTTTCAAGATTTGTTGAGTTGATTTGTGAGGTAAATTCGTGAGGAATTTAGAATCTAAGTCATCAAGTGATTTGTTGTAGCTTCTAGTTTCATGCTCACATGAGATGATCTTCCTGTAAGATTCAATATGATTAAACTCCCACTGCGGCAAGGCTCTACTAGAATATTGATTCGATTCTCGACTTCCCTCCCATCCAAAGTAGTCGGATTTTCACTATATTTTTCTATCGTTTCTGAAATTTGCAAGACAATGCAAGAAAATCCAAAAGAGAGTTCGACAAAACACATTAAATAAAAACACATGTAGGAACAACAAATTGAAATATTGATTTTCTTATAAGGAAATGTGCAACATAAAGTGTCTGATGATAACAATTAATCTTTGAAAGGTTTTAATTTACTTGACTCTTCGATATTTGTATTTTTCGTATAATATATAAAATAATTTATATTATGGAATTACAAAATATATCATAAAATTAGAATATATATATTTTAAAAAAACATAGAAATATTCGGAACTAAAATCGGATCGGAAATTGGAACTTCCGATAATTTTATACAGCATTCCAATTCCGTTCCAAATAAATTCGAAATCGGAATGAAAAATACGGTTCCAAATTAGGACATTTTCAAATCGGAATAGGCGGTATTCGAAATTTCCATTCAGATTTCCACCACTAAACACAAAGTTTCTGATATAAGAAAAAATGCAACAGATAGTTCTGATACCAATTACAATTTTTATGGTTTTTAATTTACGCGGCCCTTATTCATATTTTTCATATAAATTATTACATACATTAATTATGGAATCACAAAAATATATCGTAAAATTATATTATATAATTCAAAAAACAAGGAAAATATCCGTACCTAAAATTGGATCGAAAATCGGAATTTTCGATAATTTTATATACAATTTCAATTCCGTGCTTTGGAAAAATCAGAAGTTCGAATGAAAAGTACGGTTCTAAATTCGGATATTTTCGAATCGGAATTGGCGGAATTCCAAAATTCCATTCCGACACCCCTAAATCACATTGCATTTTGTTTACTTTTCTTTTTCCTTTATTTCCTATTATGTATGATGATGTTTTTTTGGTCATCATATGTCTCATGATTTTAAAATTATTAAAATATATTATTGAAATGATGTTGGTTATAAATGTATTAAGATTGTCTATACTAGCTTATCATCAAAATCAAGTTAATTAACTGTCCATACAAAGATTATGCTAGTGGGTAAACATTTAAAACTTTTATTGAATTTTATTCCAATATTTTATTTGATCATTCATATTACACAATAACAAGCAACTTATTTTTATATAAAATAAATCATATATAATTTTATTTATTTGTAAAACAATTAATATGTGCAATTTTAATCAATTAAATCTTAAATAATGTAAATTGTTGACTAAAGTAGTAAGAATTACGTGCATTGCTCGTGGTACTAACTAGTTACATAAACAACGGCTATAATATCGATAATATTCCTTATGTTACGCTGAACAAAATGTACGCCTTTTTCGACAATGTCTTACTTTGGCCTGAAAGCAACTGTATACAAGCTAGGCTCTTCATCATTTCATATATATTAGTTTTGCTATCAAAAAAATTTCCTCAAAATTTCCTCAAAAGTTATCTTTAATTCGCTTATCGTGATCATCATATGGGAAGAGGAATTTCGGGATGAAACATATTGAGAAGTTGGTGCATGCTTGGACATTTAACGTGACTATCGCCCCATTTTCTCTCTCCGCATAATTTGGAGATGGCGCAAACTCGATTTGGGAGATACAAAAAGTAATGGTGCATGTATATGTTTCTCAATGTATTGTTACATGCATAGTTTTGAAGGGATGTAAAACCTGCATATGATGCCATCATGAGTACTTTAAGGAATTTCTATCAGAGATATATTAAATGTAAAATAGAAATGTATAGACGATTATCGAATGTTATCTGCCTCAAATAACTCATTTGATCAATACATGCATTATTTGTGATTTGGCTCGTAGCTTGTGCGTGAATGTGAATTTACGGCATGGACTAATCGAAGGGTTTGGCCGAAAGCAATTAATTCTCTGTAACCCACCCTTGAATACAATTAAAATTGAATGACTGACCTTTTGAAGAGACAAATTGGTAGTCATGACTTGATGCTCTAATCATCCCATGAAGAACAGAAATTAAGAACTAACGAAAATTCACGATCACTGTATTTGTCGTCCCAATTCTTTTTTAACTTCTTTGCACAATCCACAACCATAGGGTTGCAGTCAACTACTTGAATCTCTTCAAGAGATGTACCGAATGTGAGAGGGATCTCTTTTAACTTGTAGCAATGTAAAATATCAATAGACATAATCGCTGGGAGACAAGAATTCATTGTCGTGAACTTCCAATGAACCAAATCAGTATCTTCAATGTAAATAGACGAAAGCTTTCGGAATTCGTTGTCACAAACTTGCCAGACTGGGCCTCGAAAGGCATAGCATTGCAATGTCAGATATTTAAGATTTGGCAATGACGAAATCTTGCTCATTTCTTCCCACAGAAATCCTAAGCCGCTGAAAGTTAACGTTGTAAAACATGACGGCAAGTTCGAAACATGAGCAAGTGAGGCAACAACCTCGTTCTTGAGTAAAGGATTCACAATGCCACATTGTAGTACTTTTAGTTTATTGAGATGGGAAATATGATTAAAGACGCTCAAGAGTTCGGTAGCATCCGGAGCTAATTCAATTTGGATCACTAAAACCTCAAGACTAGGGATTTTTTCAAGAACATCTTCGGTACAACTGTGAGGACTCACACCAATAAGTTGTAAGAGGTTTGGTAAGAGAGATCCTTCACATGGATGTGATAGGTCTCTTCCCAAAGTTCGAACAGATTTCAATTCTTTCATATTCTATATCTCAGTAGGCAGATACGATGAATTCCCAGTAGATGTTACGATGCTATGATTTCGATCAACAATCAAGTACTCAAGGTTCAAGAGTTTGGATATGGAAGGAGGGAGGTTTCCATCGTAAACTAAGGCAAAATATCTTAGTTGAACTAGTTTCACCACTTCCATTGGGAACTCGTAGAATCTTATCCGAGCTTCCAATACCCTCAACAACGTCAAATGTTCCAAAGACATTGGTACTGGATATTGATGATAGGGACCGGTACATAGGAGAGAGCGTACCGTTGAAACAGATGCAATTGAGTCGTACACATCTTTTGTGCCAAATAATGTACTATTGCGAATGCACAATCGGCGCTGGTATGTTTTACCTTCTTCTGGTGAAGCATCGACATGGCCATTTACGTCATAGAAAAACTTGTTCTTCATAGCTTCTTTGTTGCACAGGAACCAAAAGGACGAATGTAGGTGATAACCGCATCCTTTTGCGTCGTACATGATAACATTTTTGGAAAACAGCTCGAGCAAATAACAATAGCTACCACTTGCGAAAGTCGTGGCCAGGTCTGAGTAACGGTTTGGCCCTGAATCACGGAATCTTTCAGCACTCCACAGGTCGACCAGTTGGTACCAAGGTATCGGATAATTTTGTGGGAAAGCTCCAAAGTAGAGAAAACATGGTTTTAAATGTTGATCTAAGTAGTCGTAGCTTGGATAAAGTACCTTTGACATTTGATCATATGCATCCACGAAAACCGAGCTTTGTTTCTTAGCAGCTACCTCGCTCCAGTACTTTGCTGTCTTTTCAGCTTTTGATAAAATATCAGCAACTGTCACTATTGTAAGAGGAAGACCTTCACATTTCTCGGCAATCTTCTTTCCAGCTCTCTCAAGTTCATAAGAGAACGACTCTTCTTCACCAAACACCTTCTGACGAAAAAGATCCCAACTTTCTTTCTTATCCAAGAAGCGTATTCGAAAACTACTCCAAAGATTATTAGCTACTTCTTCAAGCCTAGTTGTCAGTAAGATATTACCTCCATTTTCGCCTATCGGAAATGAGCTTATCAACTCATCCCAAAGCTCTGTGTCCCATACATCATCCAACACGATCAAATATCTGCTGCCCTTTAAACTTTTGTACACCATCTTTTTCAAACAAGCTAATAATTCTTCTCATTTTCCCATAAGCAATGTTTCATCCACGTCTGAATTCAATTTCTTTAATATATCTAGTAAGACGTCCACTGATTTGTATTTCGGGCCTACGGTCACAAAAGCCCTTTTGCTACAAAGGCTCGAAATTAATGGATCTTGAAAAAGATCTTTGGCAAGAGTAGTCTTACCGACCCCCGCCATACCATAGAGCGAGATAGTCCTCAGTTCGGATCGTGAGAAATTTTCTTCAAGTCGATCTTTTATATCCATAAATTGATCGGATAATCCAACCATCTTTGAGCACTCATTTCCAACATGATCATCATCTTCTTGTTCTTCTTCTTCGGGCGAAGGGTTGTATAACTCGTGAATATAGGCTTTCTTCATCTGGTTTGCCTTTTCGATAAAGCAATCGGCATCTTGTTTTAGTTCATGCACGTCTAGAGAGACCGATAACGGGTGGCTCTCAGATTGAGAAACAGACTGACTTGAGAAATGAGATTCAATCACATCTTCAAATTCCCATATTGCCTCTGTGATTTCTCCCTCCAAAATTTTCACCATCTTCATGTTAATGACGCTTCTTTTTCCATTGAATTCTTCGAGAGCTACGTGCAACGAACGAACCTCGCTCTGCAGAAGTTGCATGAGTTGCGGCGAAGAATTTTGAACAATGGAAATATGCGACGAATTTGAAAGACGCTCAATTGTCTGCTCAAGGGAAGTTACAGCAGCATAAGCCATCTATCTCTCTCTCTCTCTCTCTCTCTCTCTCTCTCTCTCTCTCTCTCTCTCTCTCTCTCTCTCTCTCTCTCTCTCTCTCTCTCTCTCTCTCTCTCTCTCTCTCTCTCTCTCTCTCTCTCTTACGCACACACACACACACACAAACACACAGATCTTACACAAAATTTTCACTTAACTGGAAGTCTGGAACAACAGCTTCGTGTATGACTATGAGGTATAGAGAATGGTGCTGAAGTTGTGCAAGGAAAATTAATATCTAAGTTGGAAATTTTGTTTGGTTAGATAAATGTGAAAGGAAAAAAAAGGTCCAAACATTAATTCTGACTATTTTAATCCATATATACATATTTGTGGATATCCATTGCCCAGCAGCTGTAATAATTCTAGAGGGGACCTTTGTCTTCATATTTATAATAAATATCACAGATCCGACTAATGCTTGTTCCTCCTTTACTCCCTCTTTATTTATTTATTTATTTATTTGGAATCATTACAAATAAGTCTATCATGTAATACTTATTCATAAAGGGATTCAGACAAAATAAACATTTACAAGAAAGTCCAGACATTATCCATAAGTATGTAAAAGACTAAAGTACCCTTCACATTTTAATATGCTCTAATTTTATTATTTAATTCAATTTTACCACAAAATTACCAGTTATTCAATTTTGAGCCAAAACTCAATTTTGAGTACAATTTCGCCCGACGCTGCCGCTAAACGCTGGTATACGGCGTTGAATTTTTTCTTTCCTCCTGGGTTTTTCCGAGGTTTCCTGCGTTGACTTAATCGATTTCTTTGTTTTTTCATATTTCTGCCGCCGGCGGTCAACGCCAGTCTCCGACGACGTGCGTTTTTTTTTTTTTTTTTTTTACTTTTTTGGTTTTTTTTCTTCAACATCTATTATTATTATTATTATTATTATTATTATTATTATTATTATTATTATTATTATTATTATTATTATTATTATTATTATTATTATTATTATTATTACTACTACTATTATAATAATAATTATTATTATTATTATTTATTTATTTATTAAAACCAACACCCTTATAAATTATGATAATTAGTGAGAACCCCGCCCGTAACACATTTGACTATATTAGGATGGATACAACCCTTTTCCAATATTAGTGAGACCCCTAATCATTAAATTACATTTTGTTTAGGGGGCTTAAGATATAGGTCCCTCCTGACAAAATTTATTAGAAGTAAATGACAAGTCTAACTAAACATTTGCTTCATATCCTTTATAAATTTCATTCCGAAAATGCCCTCCACGCACATAAAATGAAAATGCACCAATATATATTTAAACTGTATTTATCATTTTTTCATTCTGCATTTAACATTTTTATTTTTGTATCTAGTATTTTGTTATTATTTTTTTAAAACACATTATTTTTTTTTTATTATTTTTATGCATTTTCGTATTGTTTTTTCCTTTTTCTTCTACATAATATTGAAAATTATGATTTTTTCATTTTTTTCGGCTGTAGTCTTCTATAGAAACCCGTAAAAAACCGTAGTAGCTAGTCCGTAGTTATGTATAGAAACTCGTAGGAAACTGTAGTATTCGTAGTCACATATTCTTAAAACCCTAATTTCTCTTTTCAACCCTAGCCGCTAGACACCATAGACACTATTACAGGGGTTAATTTATCACCGAAATTTTCCCACCGTACGGCCTGATTTGCCCACCAAACCAGTCAGCCTTCCTCACGATTTTCTTCGCACAAAACGCACAACACAAGTCTTTTCAAGCCAACGTAAACGAACACAAGAGTATGCAGCGGAAAACAAATACACAAGCACGTTTACGGGCAATGCCCAACCTTTATATTAATTCCCACAACGAATACAAAGGAGACTAAGGTGCACACACAAAACCCTCACTCAGAATGCCCAACAATTGCAATCTGAACTCTCATATGCTAGATACCTCGGATTTGTGCCGTCATAGCCAAATAAATACAAGGAAAATGTAGTTTTCACATAAAACTACCTAAGGACACATGGCAGCATACAAACATGACACTTGGCTAACTATTACAAGTAATAAGGGGCAGTTTTCATGCATTTCCAAGCCTGAACCGCTCCGTAACTTCCCTCAAATCCGCCCACAAGGCTGATTTCCGAAGCCCAACTTGACCAGGCGCGCCCGCGCGCGCCAAACGGCCCAAACAGCCCGGCCGGTTGCTAGGCAGCCCATCTGCCTTGCCTTTTCCGCACGTTTGCTTGCCTTTACCGATTACTTGCCAGTTCTTTGCCCATCGGGCTGCCTTCATTGACTTGCCAATCCGTCGTGCCAACTTGCCCACACTTGTCAAGTCGTGGTCGATTTCCCTCAAACGCTCGTTTGCCCAAGTTATCGGCCACATGCCGATCACTGCCCACGCTTGTCCGCATTCGCTGCCGAGCAACGCCCGTGCCAGCTACTAGTACTTTCGATCACTGTTCCCACTTGAATCAAGCCAATCCTTGCTTTCTCGGTCAAACACCCCAACTGCTTGCCCGATACTTGACCACTCATTGGCCGATTGTGTGGCTGTCTTGTGCCAATCCCCACTTGGCACCATTTCTCGGCCATGCCTCGGCCACACTCGAGTCATTACCGATATCACCGATTAAAGGGGTAACAAACCTCCCCCACCAACGGTGTTCGACGCCCTCGTCGAACCGACACCATCGGCTTCAGCTGTCCCTCGTTTCCACTTGTCTTGCCACCGTTTTCGATTGTGCTTCAGCACCAGCACCACATCGAACCCTGAAATCCAAGTCTGATCCCACAAAAATCCCACATATTCTTTCAGCCCTCGGAAAAATGAACGCCAACCACGTTCAAACAGCAGCACAAAACCACAAGTGAAAATGCTAGTTTTTGGCACCACTAGCATTTTATCTCGATTGCCACACCGATCGAGAAAGGAGACCCCCATCCCACAGAAATCACCCAAAATCAGCTTCCATTTCATCAACAACAGAAACTAACCCACGAAAAATCCAACATGCCACATAAATTCATAGAATACCACATTTCGAACCCACGAGTTGTGCCACACACGGCAGCAACTTGGAACAAAAGTAAGGCCACAATGCCCATTCATAAGCCCAAATAAATACCTTAACTTGCCTTCAGCCCTCGTCTCATTTCTCGGCAATGCACGTACAAGCAAACCAGCCCGAGAATTCACCGTCTTGGTTCCAACGGCTGCAATTAGACTCGATGACTCTTCGTCGTTCGATTCTGCCTCCAATTGCACCGCAACCAACATTGCCACCGGTTTCTTTCCCGCCTTTGCGTTAGTCACGTACGAGCATTCGACAAAGCATGGACGCTCTTCGTCCATAATCATCAACCCACCGAGAAACGGTATCACCGCAGCCTTGGCAGCAAATAGGAACTCTTGCCCCAATATCACATCGAAATCATCAAGTGGTACGGCAGTCAATCCGCACTGCCCTTTCCACGAACCGATCACTAGATCGACATCGGTTCTGCCTTTCACCGGCCCCGCCTCTGAATTTACAGCCTTTACTTGACTTGCATGTTTTGAGAGAGTCAAGCCCAGCTTCTTGACTTCTCTCTCGGCAACGAAGTTATGAGTTGCTCCCGAATTAACCATCGCTTTCACTTCTTTGCCATTGATCAGCACCGAAGCATACATTAAGCCCTTGGTGTCGTTGGGTGCCTTGTCCACGACTAAAGCACTCAACAACTGAATCGGATTTGCTCGCCTCGTCTCGTCCGACTCTTATTCACTATCCGACTCCCGCATCAAAGCATTCAACTTGCTCCTCTTCGGACAATCCCTCATTCGGTGGTTGCCATCACATATAAAGCAGCCACGGTTTTGCATGTTGACGACGGTCCGTCCACCGGTCTTGGTTTGCACCGAGGATCCTTCGCCATCACCACTCTCTTTTTGCTTCCAATTCCGGCCACCCTTGCCACCGAACTTCTTCCCCTTGGATTTATCCCTCTTCGAGCCTTCCTTATCAGAATCATCGGCCCCCATCACCTTGTAATCGACAAGCCGATCTGCTGCCGAGATGGCACTTGGCAGATCCTTCACACCTTGCCTCCGCAACTCGGTTTGGGCCCATGGCTGCAATCCAGCCATGAAGTTGAACAGCTTATCTTCATCGAACATATCACGTGTATGTCAAGGAGCAGAGAACTGAAGTCCTTGACATACTCTCTCACGGTTCCCTTGTGCTTCAATTGCCGAAGGGATTCCCTTGCAATCC